TCCTTCTGGTTGGTCCAACTTCGGGACACCATCATGCAGAACCTTCGCTTAGATAGTTTCTTATGGCAGTACTAAGGTACAGATGTATTTTCCTTCTCTTTACTTCACTGTTAATAATGTATCAAGATGTCATATAGATGCTGTCCACCTACCATCACAGATTTGCTGTGCCACCTCCTGTACTTCATGTATAGTAGAACTCAGTATTGGTTCCTTCCTCAATTTACTTTTTCTACTAACTACTTATCACAGTCTTTCGTATAATTTGTTTAGTATTAAGTATATAAATCTACATGTTAATGTGTTTACTGTCAGTTTCTTGACTAGAAATAGTACTTACTAGTTTGGCTAACTTCCACGATGTCAGAAATGTCTGTTTTTGTCAAAAAACTATGTAATTTATTTTGGAATAGTTCTAGGAATGTTGCTCCTAATACCTACATTTCTTCCGGTGGCATACTGGCTGAACTGGGCGCCTTTTTGTTCTTGGTATCTTTCAGACCTATCCCTAGCTCGCTCTTTGTAAATGATAGTGGTATTTATTTCTTTTTCTTTCACCAAATGAGGTCTGTGCACAAAAAGTTACTTTGATATGCCTGGTCTTTTCTTGTCCGTTGGCTCTGTGGAGGTTATAGTTTTCCTTTTTCAGACGTATGTATTTAGATCCCTTCAGTGCTTTTGTTTGAATTTTTATTAGATTCTTTAATTCAATTTTTAATTGCTGACAGTTTTTCTTCACCTCCTCCATGTTCTCCTCTCTACTTGTTATTTGTATTTATATTCTTTTTATTTTGGGGCAATTCTTCCTTAAATGACCTATTTCTGAGAGCATTTTCTTTGGAGTCCTTTATCTGTTTCTTTCTTTCGTTACTATCTTCATAAACTTCCTTAATTAATTCTTCAAAATGATTTGATCATCCTCTTAAATACACTCCAGTTTATACAGATTGTTTTTCTTTCTTTCCAAGCTCTACCTTGTGTATCATTTTGGATCTCAAAACAGATGTATTTGTGATCATTGTAAGTCTAGCTGTCTTTTCGTTTAACAGTTAGTCATTCTCCGTTACTAATAGAGCCCGTGTGTTAATAGGTCATGGTGTAAATAACAGACGTGGGCTTAGCACACCACAAGCATGCAAACATTTGCCCTAAAATGACACATAATCATAAAGTCATATTAAATTTTTATTTGCATATTTACAATTCTTTCTATTTTTGTCCTAATTTGACATCATCGGGGCTCTGTTTATCAATATACCTATAAATGTTTTATTATTAAATCACCAAATGTTTAGATGACGTAAAGTCCTTACCTAGAATGACCTATTGGTCATTATTCGCAGTAAGATACAGCTCCAAGGTCCATTGCGTGAGATATACTCTCCTAGCTCATCCTCTACTGCGATGATTTGTCGTTTACGTCTCCGATCAATAATTATTCCTCCTTACTTTTCCTTCTATAATGAAAATCCACCTCCTTCTTCTAACTTAATTGATATATTTGAGGATATGTGAGCACCACAGATGGCAGTTTGTTACCAGTACTGCCCTCCTAAGCCAAAAAGCGGTATCTCACTTCAAGTGAGTTTCGAGAAAATACACATTTTCTAAAAGTTGTTCTCGCGTTCCCTCGAGCCGAAAAAAATAATTTAGGTACCGCTGGATTACTTTGAATTATTTTTTGTTTATTAATATTATTTTTGAAATTCTTATATCGTATATGGATATGTAGCTATTTAGCTTAGTATTAATGGCATACCATTAAGCCTTTTAGTACATATAAGTGAAGTTGAGATAATGTGAAATTGTTATAAGTTTTTTTTTATGTTCCGATTGATATTTTGCTATTTTTATTAGTTCATCTGAGGCGGAATTTTTCAAGCTATCTGATGGGTTAAAAAATAGAAAAGTCGCTTTTTTTTAGATGCCGCTTTTTGGCTTAGGAGGGCAGTGTATGCCTATATGTGCTTTGGTCTTATGAATTCACAAAACTTCTATATTTTTCGTTTTTTAAATACAGAGCTACATCCGATATTTTATTCTTTATTCATTGACTACTCTAAGGCAAGTGTTTAACAGGGTTCTCCAACCAGCAGCATATCTATTTATTTTTCCGATGCAAAATGAAATGCCACATCTTGGGCTGCCCTGCTTCTTCTGGGATTTGCTTTTAGAACTCTTGCGATCACCTTTAGCGTAAAAAATTATTTATTGTTTCGGCCTTTACTTGATGAAAATCCATTTAATTTTGAAAGAGTAAAACCAAATTTGGTAGATTTTCACACTTTTATTTTAAAAATAAAAATTTAAAAAAAAACACTAACATGACATATGTTTCGAAGTACAACTTCTTTTTCAAATGTAACTATTTACAATTCGGTATCCAATATATATACGAAATAATTTAACAAAACAAAGTACTTAAGAAAACATCAATAACATTACAAAATAAACTAACTATTTAAAGTAAATAAGGGTACTTAGGTAATTATAATATCCATCAAATAACAATAAGATAGCCCATTACCGGGATTATCTCACAGAAAACTGGGAAAGAGATTTAATAAGGGTGAATTATTAATATCTAATTGATCATTTAGTAAGTTATCTGAATTTTTAAATCTATTTATTTCAAGTGTTTCTAAATGGTTTAATTTAAGGCTCTTATTTTCTACATGTAAAATTTCAAAGTTGTCTGTAAAAGAATGATTTTCAGCTAAAATATGATTTGAGTAAGTAGAATTATTTTTGTTTTTTGTATAGCTATTATAATGTTCGGAATAGCGTTTTTTGAAAGTACGGCCTGTTTGACCAATATACAATTTTGGACAACTACCACAATTTAATTTATATACCCCCGATTTATTATTAGGATTAATTTTACCCTTATTGTTTTTAATATACTTCCCAAGCGTATTATTGGTTTTAAAAGCTACGTTAATATTTTGGTTTTTTAAATATGATGATACCTTTTCACTAAGAGCTCCTATATATGTAAGACTCTTATATCTGCAATTTGGATCTTTAATTATGGCATAAACTTGTTGAATAGTCTGTTTAAAAAGTTTTTTTTCTAAAATGTTGTCTACTAACTTTGAATTAAAATTATTATTTACTGCGATTTGTTTAATGATATTTAATTCTTTTGTCAAGTTCTCTTTGGTAAGGGGAATATTAACTAATCTATGGATCATACTGTTGTATGCTGCCAGCTTTTGTTTGTATGGATGAGATGAACTATTATTTATTGTAATATCCGTATGTGATGGCTTATGAAATATCCCAAAACTGTGGCCTTTATTATTTTTAATAATATTTAAGTCTAAAAAATTAATTGAATTATCCTTCTCTGTTTCCATAGTAAATTTAATATTAGGGTGTATAGTATTGATAAAAACTAATAAAGAATTTAACTGTCTACTAGTACCAGTAAAAGCAGTCAATATATCATCAACATATCTATGCCAATACAGACAATGTTTACTTAAATTATTGCTATGAATTTTATTTTCTATATTATCCATAAATATTTCTGCAAGCAACGGGCTTAATGGGTTCCCCATAATAAGACCTTCATTTGCTGAATATATGTTATTTTGAAATTGAAAATAATTTTGTTTTAGGCAAATGTTTAACAAATTTAGGATTTCTTCTTTGATTACTACTATACTATACACCCTAATATTAAATTTACTATGGAAACAGAGAAGGATAATTCAATTAATTTTTTAGACTTAAATATTATTAAAAATAATAAAGGCCATAGTTTTGGGATATTTCATAAGCCATCACATACGGATATTACAATAAATAATAGTTCATCTCATCCATACAAACAAAAGCTGGCAGCATACAACAGTATGATCCATAGATTAGTTAATATTCCCCTTACCAAAGAGAACTTCACAAAAGAATTAAATATCATTAACCAAATCGCAGTAAATAATAATTTTAATTCAAAGTTAGTAGACAACATTTTAAAAAAAAAACTTTTTAAACAGGCTATTCAACAAGTTTATCCCATAATTAAAGATCCAAATTGCAGATATAAGAGTCTTACATATATAGGAGCTCTTAGTGAAAAGGTATCATCATATTTAAAAAACCAAAATATTAACGTAGCTTTTAAAACCAATAATACGCTTGGGAAGTATATTAAAAACAATAAGGGTAAAATTAATCCTAATAATAAATCGGGGGTATATAAATTAAATTGTGGTAGTTGTCCAAAATTGTATATTGGTCAAACAAGCCGTACTTTCAAAAAACGCTATTCCGAACATTATAATAGCTATACAAAAAACAAAAATAATTCTACTTACTCAAATCATATTTTAGCTGAAAATCATTCTTTTACAGACAACTTTGAAATTTTACATGTAGAAAATAAGAGTCTTAAATTAAACCATTTAGAAACACTTGAAATAAATAGATTTAAAAATTCAGATAACTTACTAAATAATCAATTAGATATTAATAATTCACCCTTATTAAATCTCTTTCCCAGTTTTCTGTGAGATAATCCCGGTAATGGGCTATCTTATTGTTATTTGATGGATATTATAATTACCTAAGTACCCTTATTTACTTTAAATAGTTAGTTTATTTTGTAATGTTATTGATGTTTTCTTAAGTACTTTGTTTTGTTAAATTATTTCGTATATATATTGGATACCGAATTGTAAATAGTCACATTTGAAAAAGAAGTTGTACTTCGAAACATATGTCATGTTAGTGTTTTTTTTAAAAATTTTTATTTTTAAAATAAAAGTGTGAAAATCTACCAAATTTGGTTTTACTCTTTCAAAACCTTTAGCGTAGGCTTGTCTGGTTCAACTTGTAGTGCATTGCCAATATGTCTTTTACGCTTATTCTCTCTAAGGTATAAAAATTTCAACTGTCTTATTTTATCTAAGAATTCTTGTTCATTACCAATATTATTACCAGTATCATAAACTCGCAATACAAGAATTAAATAACACCATTAAATTATCTTTTAGATGCTCCCTATAGAGGCACTATCAACAGAGCCATTTTAAAACTTCAAGAAGAGGGCATCTTGCTTGAACTCAAACAAAAATGGTGGTCAGCTGAAGAACCTTGTTCAATAGACGAAGAGTCTTCTGTGCAAATGAAACCAGAAAATGTTGCAGGTTTATTTGTTATACTTGGAGTGGGAATCGTAATAGCTTTTGGTGTAGCTGTTTTTGAATTTGTTTGGAATGCGAAGAGGGTAGCTAAAGAGGAGGGGGTAAGTAATGTTTTCTTTAATAATAATATTACATGGATTCAAAATATTTATTCAGAGGTAAATAAAATTATAAAATTAATAAAAATTGCAACGAAATTATTGAAAGAAAATGGAAAGAAAAATTGACAATTTTGATGTCTTGTTGCTTATTTAACTTTTAAAATATTTGTTTCTTTTTCTTTTAGATTACATACTGTGAAGCTGTGTGTGATGGACTTAAAATGGCTAGTTCTATCTGGACGAATAGAAGAAAAATACGATCACAGTAATTATTTGCACTTAAAATTATTTTTATGAAATAATAAATAAAGATTTTAAAAGTTTTCTAATTTATTTCACAATATCAAGCACAGTAAACGGACTGGCATATTGTGCATATGATATCAACCACCCACATTGACGCACGTAATGATATCGACAAAACAAAGCCACATTTCCCTAAAAATAAATTGGCTATTCCCATAGCTCAGGCTCCCTTTTTATTAGCGAAGTTATGCCCAGAAAGTAAGTCTCCGAGAAGGAGAAGAGTTTCGCGTAACAAAGTGATATGATGATTAGGTTAAATGGCGAAGAATAATACCTCGTTAGACATTCATTGAAAAGTTTCGAGTCATTCCGTTTTGTCGGATGAAACGATTTTAGCTTTTCTAATTTAATGTTCTCTTTTAGAAGTCGTGGCTCATTTTGTGGTTCGAAGCGTTCTCTTCTGATTAACTTTTGTTCCTTTGAAGTCATATTTTTTGATCGGAATTGAAAATTAAGTCAACCCTTTAATTTCCTTTTAATATTGAAAATTTTAAACTTTTAATATCGTATCAATTTAGTTCTAAAAAATTAATATTCAGCAGAACATTAAACTTATTGGAGTATTTTTTGATCCATTAACTGAAAAACAATATTCTTTATACAGGGTGTAGCTAAATAAGTGTAAAACTTTTAAGGGGGTGATTTCTCATAAAAAAAAAAGATAGGATCTTTCATATAAAGAAACTTCTTCCTTGTTAAGATATGTAAGGATGGCTCTAATTTCAAATAAAAGTAAAAGGATTGCTTCATAAAATCACTTTATTTCTTAACATAACGTGTGCGAACCAACATAATCATAATCAAATCAACAACTAACTCGAATGACATAAAAATAATGACATTGTTAAAATGTCCAAGCAGTGATGCCAACTTAATCAATGTTACCAACTGAGGTGGCCTCTGACAGATAGCCTAACAGCTACATATCTTACAACTCGGCCATTCTGACCTAATCTGATTGTCCTCAATCAGTTTACACAATAAAACATGAGACATAAACATAAAAATATTCCGGCAACTAGTACTAAAAAAAAATCACTCATATTTTCCATAAATGAGGCATAACTAATAGTAATGTGACAGGATGTAACAAAATGTGTGGTACAGAACATAAATAATATATAGCAGAAGTACATGAACATAATTTGGTCATAAGTAACATAATTAGCTCAAAAACATAATTTGCTCATAAGTAACATAATTTGCTCAACTAGCATAATATAGCAAAAGTACATAAACATAATTTGCTCAAAACATAATTTGCTCATAAGTAACATAATTTGCTCAAAAATATAATTTACTTATAAGGTTCTCGATAAACTATAATAAAAAAAAAATATACACAGGGTGTATGTAAACATAATTATTGTAACCTGATTTATAGTAAAATGCTTTATTATAAAACTGTAAATGTCAAAATATACACTTGTATATTATAATAATACCATAAATTACAAAAATAGTTTCATGACATGAGTTACACAACAAACCATATATACATAATTAAAAGAAAACTAGGTTTTATTTTCTGAGGTGGGTATATTTAATTTGAATCGTTTTCTTTATGCCAATGTTTTATACGTGATGCATCAAATATACCCTCATATGGTCTTTGAGAAATTTGAAATCCTTCTATATCTGAAATTAAGTATCTATCATTAGGAAGGACCTTTTTAATAACGTAGGGGCCTTTAAATTTGGGAAGTAATTTTTTGTTAACACCTACTGTGACATCTTTATTTGGAATCATAACATATTCACCAACTACATAAATTGGAGCTTCCTTATGTGTTTGATCATAGTATTTTTTATTGTATTCTTGTGATTGTACTATTTTCTGACTTGCCGTATCTTTAATATTCGTTAAGTCATTTGGGATTTGATTGATAGGAGAAATAATCTGTTTTAGGGGATCATCTATTTTTCTATTTTGATTAACGCCAAACAATAATATAGCGGGTGTTTGTCCCGTTGAACTATTTATTGTATTATTGATTGCAAATTCAACATCTGGGAGGGCATTCACCCACTTCTTCGGAGAATCTGAGATTTTAGCTAACATAGGAATTATAATGCGGTTAAATCTCTCTACTTGGCCATTTGCCCGGGGTACACCTACAGCTGCTAGGACATGTGAAATACCACAGTCTTTCAAGAAGCTCTTAAAGTCTGCAGAGGTAAAAGCAGTGCCTCTGTCTGACACAATTCTAGCAGGTTTGCTGTAATTACTAAAATAAGTGTATAAGTGTTTGATAACTTCCTTAGTATCGGTTGTTTTACAAGGATACACTTTTACGAATTTAGTAAAACCATCAACCACTACCAGTAGATGCTTAAAACCATTGGATTTTTATAATGGACCACAGTGGTCCAGGTGAATCGTATTAAAGGGTTCATTGCCTTTAGGGATACTGTGCAAGAGACCTTGGTTTTTCCCACTTTCAGGATTGTATACTATGCAACGTAGGCAATTAGAAATATAATTTTTGACTTTTTCCTGCATATTTGGGAACCAATATGTTTGTCGAATTACTTCTAAACACTTTGAACAACCTACATGGCCCAATTCGTCGTGACATGACCTTATGACATTGTCTTGCATAGTTTTGAGGACATAAAATAATAATGAGTTTTTGTATTTTCTATAAACAATTCCATTTCTTAATTCATAAAATTTACTTTCACTTTTTTCTAAGAGTTTTCTTATGGCGCAAATGTATTCATCTTGGGTCTGTTTTATGCATAAATTAGTCTCAAATGGAGTTTCTTCAATGACAAGAATGCTATTGAAGCAACGGCTCAAGGCATCAACGTGCCTCATACGAGTACCCTCTCTATGCTCTATTGTATAGTCATAATTTTGAAGTACAAGACTCCACCTCATAATTTTGGGATTAATGTCCTTTTTTTGTAAAGCCAAGTTTACACTGTTACAGTCTGTAATGATTTTAAATTGAATAGTAAATATACCCTAAATCTGTTTAAACTGTTTACTATAGCTAACATTTCAAGCTCAAAACTGTGAAGCTTGGATTCTGTTGCAGTTGTACGTTGGCTATAATAAAACACAGGATGAAAATTTCCTTCGTTCTGCTTCTGAAAAATAATCCCAGAGTAGCCTAAAGAGCTTGCATCACAGTGAAGCTGTGTATCTGCATGGGGGGAATATAAAGCAAGAACTGGTTCAGACGTTAAAATATTTTTAAGTTGATTGAAACTATCCAAGTGTACACATTCAAATTTATAATTTACATTTTTCTTAAGTAATTCATATAGTGGTCGCTCTATCGTAGCGAAATTTTTAACAAATTTCCGAAAATAGGAAGCAAGACCAATAAAGCTATGAAGTTCCTTTGCATTTCTTGGAACGGGAAACTTCTTTATTGCATCTGTGTGTTCGTTACTAGGCATAATACGTTTTCCATCAATAATATAACCCAAGTGAGTTATTTTTGTATATAACAGGGAGCATTTATCCAAACGTAGGGTAAGGTTATTATTGATTAATAAATCTAACACTAATTTTAAAATTATTAAGTTTTCCTCGATTGTTTTTGTAGCAATCAGGAGATCATCAACATAAATGAAAAATGTATCTTTGTTCAAGAGGTCATTGAATATTAAATTAATAAATCGCATAAAAGTGGAAGGACTATTTTTGAGGCCAAAAGGCATCTTTAAGAATTCGTATTGACCCATTGGTGTGACAAATGATGTGTATTTTACTGAATTTGGGTCCATTGAGACATGATAGAATGCACTTTTTAAGTCCAACCTTGTAAAATAATTTTTATCCCTTAACTGATCGATTTGATCTTCGATCAAGGGCAAAGGAAAATTGTCCCTTAACGTAATTTTATTAAGAGTTCGATAATCTACACAGAGTCTGTATTCTCCGGTTTTTTTCTTAGTTAGTACAATGGGACTACTATACTCCGAGTTACTTTTTCTTATAATATTATTGGCTAACAAATCCTCAACTATTTTATTTACAGCTAATTTTTCAATGAAAGAAAGTCTACGGGGTTTAAAGTAAAAAGGCATGTGATTGGGTTCTACTACAATTTTCATTTCAAAATTTGTTTTAGGGTTTGTTGACCCTGTTGGCTCAAAATAATTTTTATTAAACAGGATTTCAACTTCCTCTCTTACCGATGGTTCAATATCTGCGTTTATATTTAATTCATGCTCTAATTTACTAACATAATTTATATTTAAAATACTTAAAATTTCATCCGATTGATTTTCAATACAACTTTGTATAGGTTCAATGATTAATCCTTCATTACTAAACATAACACTTAAATTGCTATTTGACAGAAAATCTCGACCTAACAAGCCTTTAAAGGGTAAAGTACTATCAGGAACTACATAAAATTTTAATTCAAAATCAACGTTAGATACTTTTACACTAAAACTAATGGTGCCTAATAATGTTAGTTTTGAACCATTTATACCTTCATAAATTTTGTTACAATCGATGGGCTCAAAGTTAAAGTTTTTACAAATATCATAACATAATAGTGAAATAGGACTTCCTGTGTCCAAAACACAATCTACATATATTTGGCTTTCAGACTTACGTAATTGAGTTGAAACCATGAAAGCGGAAGGGGGCTTTGCTGACTCCACTAGCAGTGCTGCTCCACTAGGGTTTGTAGCTGTTCTCGGTGCTGTTGCGCTGTGGTGAGTCTAGGGACAACTCCATTTCCTATGCTCCAATGAACCACAAGTGAAGCATGAGCCTCTGGCTCGACGTGGTTTGGAACAGTCGGTTGCTTTGTGTCCTTCTTCATCACAGTTGAAACACTTCGATGCTACTCTTTGATACCTAGCACTGGGGAGGGTAACACATTCCCTCTTCACTTCACTTTTCACTTTTTTGTCTTCCCCTATCTTACTTATTTCTTCATTGTCTCTCCTGTCCTTAAACCTGCCTCTTCTAGCACTGTCTATCCTCTCAAAGCTGATCATATTCTGATACAGTTCATCTTCATCGTAATGT